ATGGCACAGATAACTTGCTTTGCTGCAGGACTCAGCTGTTTAAAGTCAGAGAGAGTCAATATGACTTAAGGGGAACAGATTTCTTTAAGAAAAACAAGATAAGGACAAACATAAAGCAGAGATGTGTTTCTGTTAGAGGAGTTAACCTGTGGAACAGTTATGACAGTGATTTAAAAAGGTGGAATTCATTTTCCTTGTTTAAAAATATTAGAAAAATATATAAATCAAGAATGAAAAGAGCAAAAATAATAATACTGAAACTCTTGACTGTTTTGCTTTGATGTAGTTACTTATCTAAGGTGGAAAGTTTGTTTGTTTGTTCTTTGCTTCGAGCCCTGTGTACAGGAGCTGCATGCAAAAAGATGTTTTGTTAAAGGGTTGGCGTAATAAGCAAATGCTTCAGCCAATACCTTTTGATTAGCCTCGTGCTTTCTTGCTTTGTGGTAATCTTTGTTCTGTATTCACTGAGATATTTGAATGCTAATCAATCAAATCCAATCAGATTGTTCAATAAACAGCACTGGGATCTCCTCTCTGTACATGGTTTGTCATGAGACGCTACTGTGGTGTCGCCTGCAAACGTCAGAACCGTGTTTGAGGAGTGGATCGCTGTGCTGTTGGTCAAAGAGTGAGAAGAGCCGGACTGAGCACACGGCCCTGTGTGGACCGGATTGGATGATATCTGGCCCCTAGTCTCACCACCTGAGGTCTCATTTAAAGAAGCACAACTTTAACTTTCTGCATGATTATTGGGGAAACTAACCCTACACGGAGTTTGTTCAAATTATTTAACCCTGACTAAATTTTAGCTGAATTAACTCATAGGGTCAGGGTTATTTCTTCAATCCATTATAAGGGTGGGGTTAAAGGTTTCTGAGGTAAAAGCTTCAGACACTAAACTCTCAGACAGAGACATGACAGGAGGACTCATGCTGCCCCTCGGCAGGCTTCCTGAAACTGTCCACTCAGAAAAAGGTAGGCATGAAGTGAGTAGCTTCATTGAGGTTCAAGATCACCTAAAGAAGCATTATTTTGAAAAGTGACTCAGAGCCTGAGAGCGTTTGTGCTGATGTGGACCAACTGCGTGAAATAAGACCGGTTTCCAGATGAGGCAGGAGCTAAAGCAGAGCCAAAGCAGGTTTAGTAGGCGACAGGTTAATATGAGGAGACTCACGATGTTCACTTCCTGCAGGAATGAAAGAAACTCTGAATCATTTTTTACTCTGTAAAACTTTTATTTCTTTTTTAAATGAATCATTTCTGTTTAGAACAAACATGAGTCATGAAGCAATGCTACATTTCCCTAACAGCAGGTTTGATGCTAGTGCTGCTGAAACACGTGAGCATCATAGAAACCTGAACAGGCCCTGTCTTTATCATAAATCCAAAAAGCTGCTACAGATTTTTACTTCTATTGCATCTCTTTGCAAAGATTCACATTTCATAAACACTTCTGCTCTTTACATCTCACATATATATTTGTATACTTTTATACATAAAAGCTACTCTCTCTTGGTGATAAAACTAAAATAATAGAAATAAAAAGACAGTAAGACACGACAGTGTCTGGAATGGTCAGATGCATTCATCAAGTCGAACATTTTTCTCTTCAAATCTTCTCTGAGGTTTGAACATCTGCTGTACTGACACAGGAAGAGGAAGAGGAGGAGGAGGAGGAGGTCTGTTCCAGAGATCAGATGCAGATTAAAATCTCATCAGGAACACCTGTCCCTCACCTGACCTCCACCATCACAGCCAGACACCAGCAAACACTCTGGTTTACTGGTTACACCTGAATGCAACCCGCTGCAGACCAATGCTAAGTTTGGAATCGCTCACAAACGTCCTCATGTTTAACTTAAACAGATCAGAAATGTTCATTTAACCCCACGCTGCAACCTGCACACACTACCTGAACCAATTTAGGGCCAATTTCCTCCTTCAACATCTCAACGAACAACCAAGACTGAGTGGTTGAGCAATAAAGGACTCTTTAGATGAGCTGCTGTTCTTTCTGAGCTGCAGTGCTGTCGAGCTTCTGAGCGAACAGAGCGAGTATCTGAACCGACCGCGTTTACATCCGACATGAAACACGCATTAATGTCAGAGGTGGAAAATCACTGTCGGCTCGAGCACTTCCTGAAGGTCTCCTGGACCTCCACAGTCCTCCGTGTTAAATCTTCTAGGAAGAGGAAGTTTGTGTTCTGATCTTTGTATAAATGAGAACAACATGAAACCATTTTCTCGATCCAGAGAAGGGTGGACTCCCGTCCCTCTCTGAAGACGAGCTGTTCCTGTCGGTGTTTGCGATGAAGCAAGGCGAGAGGCCATCACAGCCTGATGTGTGAAGTCTACAACATCTCTCGGCGTTGAGTTTTACCGCGTTTTCACCGTGATGAGAACGGTCTTGTGATCACCTCGTGGTACTGCGCGTGGACGATCCTTTAACTTCGGTTCTTTCAGGTCTTTCTGTACGTCTCCTTCACCCTGCAGCTCATCTCTTTAACCAAAGAGTTTTAAAGGAAAACGTGACATCCTGTGAGAGATCCTCGAGTGCGAATAAAACGTCTGAGTGTTCGGACCATGAACTCGGTTAATGTGGCGGTCGGGTTTACGCCAGGTTTCTGTGCAATTTCATCGGATTTGTTTCATTAGTTGTGTCAGTGTTACCTATTGATTACTTTCTAACTGCAGATTACAGTTTGATTGTTTTAGTAGCAACCCCCGGCAGACAACAGGTTTCTGATCTTTGCAAGTTCACAGAGTAAAATCATGTTTCTGATTTCTGGCGGGCAGTGACCTCACAGTGAAGCTGGGACTCAGCTGGTTTAATTTAGGGGCCTGATTGGTCAACAGCTGCTAATATTTTAGCAATGTTTTACCATGTAGGCTTTTGTTTTTTCAAGAAATATAAGACAACTTAAAAAAATCATTATTTATTTTTGATCTTTTGCCCTTTTTTGGAGAGAAAATCAGAAATGTTCACATTCATGTCTTGAGAAACAACAGCGTAGACTTTAGCTCTACACTGACCATCAGCAGAAACACCTGGTTGGCTTTAATCACATAGTGATCCCAGAATATTTGATAAATCTGTCACCTTCAGGGCTTTGGTCACATCACCACTCATCTCTGAGGTCAAAGTTCAGCATTAAATCAGTCATGATGTCATTGATGTTTGAGACGTAGATCTGCACAGAGGTAAGTTCTGTTAGCAAACGTCATAGCAAGAGCTTCCTGTTTACTGTCTCCTCTAGAGTCACACCTAACTTAGCTATAGGACTGTTAGCTCTGCCATCTATCCACGCTGTAACATGTTTAAAGTAACATATGAAACCCACAGACATCTGTAGTTTTCCAGGCCTTACCCTAGCTTAACTGAAAGTCTGACCTGAACTGAACCCAGATCAAAGTTGGTTTGTTAAAAGATTCACTCAAAGACAGTCCGTTATTTTTCATTAACCTCAGAGGATCCGTAAGTCTTCAAAAGCACGGAGCTGTCTGTTCTGCCTAAAGGTGAACAGCTGTGCCACTGTCACACATCAGGACTGCGTTTCCCAGAAGCCACCTGTTTTCTTGCTGGGCACATTTAACTCTGTGTTCATTGACATAAAGCGTCCACAGCCTGCAGCAGGGGGCGCTGTAAGCAGTTTTGTTTAATTATAGACTGAGTCCAAATAAAACACGACTCCACGCTTGTTCTGGCTGTGTGATGAGTTATTCCTGAAATTTTAATTAAAAAAATCTACGCTTTGATCGGCCACGGCTGTGTCTGGTTAAAGCACGGTTTTATCAATCATTTAGTTTTTAAAGCTCCTTTCAGGTGTGTTTGCATTACGGCTGTAACAAACATAGCTTCAGATCAAAGTGAATCTCTAACCGAATCTGTGGCGTGGGAAAGGTAGGCGTGCAGCCAGAAGGGCGGGGCTAAGCAGCAGTTTAGCCCCATCAGCCCTTGGAGGACAGGGACAAACCTGTCCGTCGTGACAGAACAGGTACGTCATGACATCATCGTTGGTCAGTGATGAAAACAATAGGAAACTTGCATTAAGGCACACACTGGGAGACAATTTCACTCGAGCTCTGAGAGGCTTTCAGGACGACTGTGACGTCATCACAAAGGCGACACCCCTTTGAGTGCTTCACTTTGATTGGTTGCTGTGGCTCATAAAGGCCAAGGTAATATTTCATGCTTGGATGTGTAAATTTAGCTCTTCCTCTCACAATAAGTCCTCATTATTCTGATATTTAAACCTTTTTCTCTGAAATTTTATTTCCTGAAGTTTACAAATTTTCAAATCACTTGAATCAACTTTTACTTCCTCTCAAAAATCGGCGTGTTTGCATCGACCTGAAATCGTCTGCAAGTGGAGGCGTGTTTTCAATGCAGGAAGCTGTGGTCACATGACATCAGTGCTAGAAGTCAGTTCAAACATTTTCAGCCAATCAAACGGCAGATAATGATGGCGCAACGACGACCTCATCCATCCAGCAGGGGGCACAAGGCCGTGTGTTTGATCGTTTGTCTCTCATGAGGCGTGTCGGAGGACCAGTGTAGGGGCGGGGCTCCACTGGCCATGAGTGTGGTGGTGAGGGGTGGGAGAGCATTCACAGGAACAGGGGGGGGCGGGCTTACCCAACACCCCCCCAGAGTCCAGCGGGTACTCCAAGATGGACGCTGGTGCCGGCAGAGCGTACGGGTAATCGTATGGCGTCGTGTAGATCAGGCCAGACTCAGGCCCCACCCCTGCCATCAGTGCCGGTGTTCCATTGGGCAACACTGTCTGGATCTGACGAATCAGAGGCACGAGAGTGGGGCCTGTGGGGGCGGGTGTACGCAGGGCAGTGGGCGGGGCCAGTATGGGGGCGGGGCCTGAGAGGACACGAGAAGCCTGTTGCGAGACGCTAGATGCTGCAAAAGAAAAGGCGAGGGATGCTGGGTACGGGTAACAGGAAAGGGGAGGGTTTATAAAAAGGGGAGGAGTTTTAGTATGCTTGCTGTAAAAATGAAAATCTGACTCAAACGGTGAGAATGGCATCTAAAACACTGCATCTAAAACACTGCATCTAAATCACTGCATGTGTCACGTTTTTCCATTTTAACCAATAAATTTGGCACAAATGATTCATGTTTAAAATGACTGTGTCTGATTGGCCAGTCTGTCTCTTACAGGTTTTGATGCTGGC